ATGGGAAGCTAGAAGGCAGACCAAGGAACTCCTCTCATAGTTTCCATTTAAGGAGAGCTCTCAGATCATCTCTTCATTTTCCGCTGCCTAAATTTCTTTGGGCTGGACTGCATCATGTTCCCCCACTGGGTACCCCCTCCCTCTTTTACCTTCCTTTTGTGTATTGCATTCTCTCATTAGATTGTGAGCTTTTTAATGGTAGGGACTGTCTTTCTTTTTTGTATACATATCCCTAGAATTTAGCATACTGCCTGGTCTCACCCTCTCTCTCCTCTACCTTCCCAAAATATCATGTAATCTGATATAGACTCTACTTATACATTCATATTAAGCATGTATTCACATTAGTCATGATGTATAGAAGAACTAGAGCTAATGGGACGAAGCACAAGAAAGAAGAAATAAAACAAAACAACAAAAGAAAAGGAGAGCAAGTAGTGTGCTTCCATCTGCATTCCAACTCCATGGTTCTTTTTCTGCATGTCGATAGCATTTTCTATCATGAGTCCTTTGGAGTTGTCTTGGATCCTTGCATTGCTGAGGAGAGCTCTGTCTATCATAGCTGATTCTCCCATAATGTGGCTGTTACTGTGTACAATTTTCTCTTGGTTCTGCTCACTTCACTCAGCATCAGACCATACATATCTTTCCAGGTTTTTCTGAAGTCAGTCTGCTCATCATTTCTTCTAGCACAACAGTATTCCATTACATTGATATACCACAACTTGTTCAGCCATTCCCCAACTGATCATTTCAGTTTCTTTAGGAAAATTTTGGGAAATTTTACAAAAGTCAGAAAAATACAATAAGACATAAATCATGTTGCATTTGAAAACTAAGTCATTATATGGCCAGCAGGGATCTTTATGAATGGTTTAGTGGCCCCTTCTTTCTATATGAGTTTAACACTACTGCAATACACCACACACCACACCACAGGACACCAACTTTCTAGATGTCCCCAATTATAGTTAAAAAAAAACCCCATAGACCCCAGAATACCCACTTTTTATTGTCCTTAACTTTCTATTCCAGCCTTAGGTTATTCTGAGCATTAGTAGTCTTTATACCACTTTTTTTATAGGACCATGGCATGCTTTTGTGTGCTCTGTCTCTGTATCTCCATCTCCTAATACAATGCCTGGCATATTGATCAATAAGTTGATGAACCCTAGGTTCCTAGACCTTGTCTCCAACTCCTCTATGCATCATTTTTATTTTTCAACCAAAGATAACATTTATTAGAAAATCCATCATATTGGGCAGACTCTTAAGAAGTCTGAACGTTAATGAGCTATTGGCTAGATTAGAAGAATCTGAGCACCTTAATGGTGACCAGAGAAAGACTGTGGGAGGGATCTAGCAGTGGTAAAGTAGTTTGGGGTGACTGAAGGAGGGGTCTAAGGAGATCTGGATGGAAGTGGGCAGTAATCTAGAGTGAACAGAACTCCTGGGACCTGGATCTTGTGGCCTAGGGAGAATGGAGCCTAGCTAGGATTTCGGGTGGGAAATGGCCAGGGGACATAGGGAGGTAAGACAATGGAGGGCTGGGCTGGGTTAAAGGTAACAGAGAATTGGAAAATTGGGTATAGCCACAATGAAAGGCCAGTTGATGGGATTGTAGCCTCAGGGGAACGCCAGAGATTTGACCACTTTGGGAAAGTCCAGGGTTTTTCCTTTCTGGGGTCTAGATCCCATCCTCATCATTCCCCCTCAAACAAATGGGACCCAAATTCTTTTGGGGTAAGTGGCAATGGTCTTGGCTTCTGAAACTGCTTCCTGCTATCAAGGGGTCTAGAGCTGTCCCTCCCTGGGGGAGAGGATGGGTCCCAAAGAGGAGGTTGACTGTAACCAAGCACAGCCTGCATCCAGGGAATGATGGGGGGACATTAGTTGGTACCCTATGTTTGCTATCAATTGTAGGTGAATGGCCGGTAGTCTGGAAGACACAAATCTGACAGAAAGGACTGCAGGGCACAGATGTGGCAAGATAAAACATCCTTAGGTCTATTTGGATTTAGATAATTCAGTTTTCCAACCATGCAGGATCAAATCCACCTCATAGTCAGACTCAGGAATAGCCAGGTGAATAACATTACTTTTCAAAAGCACATAATGGGGAAACTGAGCCAGGAGGATCCCATCTTAGACTGAGGCTAAAGTTGTCCTCTCAGCTTTTCCCAATGCTGACTTCCCACCAGTATCACCTTCTCTGAGTAGCTTGTGGCATTTCTCTCAGATGGTGGATAATTGATTATGGATGGATTATTGTGATCCCTCAGACAACTCAAAATAAAATCCTATGAGCTTTTACCTCACACAGCAAGTTTCACTAATCAGAGTTTAGGAAAAACTTTTCCAGGATTTACATCTCAAACTTAAATTTGTCCTGGTGTGAAAAGCCAATCATTAGAATTTTCTATCACTTGCAAATTCTCAGCAAGCCATAACCCAAACAAGCTTTTTGGCTAGTTTACACATTAAAACAATAACCAACAATAGTCAAATTATTTTAGTGATAACCAAATTATGAAAAGTTGCTTGACATAGCTGAAACAAAAAGTTCACCAATTTGAAACTTGAAACAAACCCCATTACCAATCAGGTGACTTCAGTTTTGTTAAATGCATTTTTAAATTAATCAGGTGACTTCAGTTTTGTTAAATGCATTTTCAAATTACTTTACACAGGGAATCAACATCTCATCATTAACAGTTAAAACTGCAACTTTAAAAGTGAGTGCCTCCCCAAGTTCCCAGGCTAACTTCTTTACCTTGAGCAGGACATGCTGAACCTGGGTGATGCTTCCAGGCAAAGGTTGCCCCAAGGCCCAAGGCCATTGCCAGTGGGGCCCATGCTGTAGCTGCTGCCCCTCCCTCTTCCATCCTTTCCCCAGGTAGGGGGGAGGGCAAAATCAAAGGTGAGGGGGAAAGGGTGAAACTCTCTTCTCCTATGAGAGGGGTTAACAGATGCCCTCTTGACTCAAGTGAAGGCAATGGGAAAAAGGAGTAACCAGAATTGTAAGGAGGAGTGTCAAGACTCCTTAACAATCAGTCACAAAACCTCCAGAATCTGCCAAGACACTTTTAGCTGTTCTAACTTTTCCCTGTAACCTCCATGAAGGAGGATTCAGGGGTGTAGAAGGAAGGGAGTAAGTAAGCCTCAGGGAACCAAAAAGCAACTGTAGTTTTTCCCAATTCCCTAGCACAGAGAGAAATGACAGAATTGGGCATATGTTTCCAGATAGGGCATCTGTCCTTGTCCTCTCTGCTGTGGAAGGTGTACCCAGGTCCATGACCTTGAATCAACCCAGTGAACTGAGAGCCTGAGAGCATCAGGCCAAGTGGGAGACAGACTCATAACTGTCTGCCTGAAAAGCACCTCCAAGCCTTGGTGCTTGGGGAGTGACCCCAACTACAGAGCAAGAAATGGGGAGTGGGAGGCTTAAATATTTTTCAGTCTTGACTGGAGAAGAACTTGGGGTTAAGCAGTTTTCCTGTACAGGCCACCATAATGTTGAGGTTTAGTGGTTTAGGGGTGCTGGGATACCAAAATCACAACACACGGGTCCTGCCTGAATGAATTCGGCCCAAGCCTTCTTTCAGTCAAAGACAAGGTTTATTAGAACATCTGTCATATTGGGCAGACACTTAAGGAGTCTGAATGTTAGGGAGCTATTGGCTAGATTTTAAAAGTCTATGCATGTTTTAAAAGTCTAACTTGGTTGGTGAGTTGCCTGTACATATGTGTTTCCTTTCCTTCAGAAAATTCACATGTTTTCCTCCTCCCTGGAACTGTATCTCTTTTGCATCTTCAGAATTCCATTCATCTTGGTTTTTCTTTCTTTTTCACTTTTTTTGTGACTTTTTTTTTTGAGGTCCTATCTCTTCTATACTGGAAGCATAAAGGCCCAATCCCAATAATGAACAGCCTGGGAGCTTCAACTTTCTCTGTTTTTCTGACCTGTGCTGGTGCACTCCTCCTCGGGCAGCCTGGTGGTCCTCCACTCCCAGGGAGACAGTGCAGACACACACTTGGCTTAACCCTACTGTAACTCAGAACTCCAAATGGAACTCCAATCTCTGTCTGCCCAATATGGAGTACTGAAAGCAAGCCCCACCTCGTCCATTCATTCTAAAGAGCTCATCTCACTCACCTCCTGACTTTCCCTGGAGTATTTTGTTCCATTATTATGGATAACCTATTATTATGGGCAATCTCAGGTCACTGTTTCTAGCACCAAGAGCTTGGATTCAGTGTGTAATGGACAGAGAATGAGGAAACTTGGGTTTTGATACTTCATAGCTCTCTGAGCTTGGGCAAGTCATTCAGCTTATCTGAGCTCCTGCTTCTTCACCCACCAAATGGAATAATAGATGCACCACATGTCACGGGGTGGTTATAAGAAAAGTGCCTTGTAAATGTGAGCTGTTATTATTATGGCACATCAGGGAATTTTAGGGAAGAATCCTTTTCATCCTTCTCCATTTTATCTCTGAATTGGGACTGGCGTCTGGGGCAGGCTCCTTTGAATAACGAACAGGTGGTTATTTATACAGAGCTTTCAGGTTGACAAATAACTTTCAATATATTAAGACATTTCATCCTCACAACAACCTGTTAAGGTGGGTAGGGAAAAGATTATGATCCCGAATATATACATATATACATCCATCCATCCATATGTTCTGTCTCTTTATATATACATATATATATGATGCATAAACACACACACACACATACACAATTTTACTTTCAGTGCAACTTACACCTTGTGCTCTACTCTGGCCAGGGTGGAGTAGTCTGTTTGCTATCTATAGATGTCTCTGAATTTAGAATTGTGTAATCAGCGGGTTCCAGCTGCATGGGTGTTTGGCCAAGGAACCCTGCATTCTACTGACTCTTTGTCAGTAGGGAGGGAGCAGAACGAAGGGGGTGTTTGGTGGGAGGAGGGTAGGTGATAGATGCAGGAGGGGAGGAGATTCTGAGGTAGCAGGCTAATGCTCACTCCCTCTTTTAGAAGAGTTTTATGTCCTCTGGAGTGGTCTGTTCTGGGGTTGGTGGGACAGATGAGTGCTGCTAGTAGCTGACTCCTTTTGCCATTTGAAGTTGACTCCTGGCATCCCCTGCCTGCCATGAGGGGACCGTGGGTGCCCGAACATGTTACCACCACCAGCTCTGTACTGCTGTGGGTAGCACTGTTGTGTCTAGGTGAGTCTAAGATTGATGGAGTAGAAAATGGGAGTGCACAGACAAAAGGCCAAGCATTGTTTGGGGGCCTAACTTGGGAGGAAAGCACGAGGGGGGAAGATGGAAAGAAGGGGGAGGATGGGAGTTAGAAGAAACATAACCAGTTTCTTAGAATCAGGAGAGAGGGGAGATGCTAAAGTTGCTGGTCAGTCCCATGCCAACAGCACTGACTCTTACAACTTGCTGTAGGCCAAGTGAAAGTTGACTCTTGTTTGGGTGTCCTCTCTGCACAGGGCACCCTGATAGTTTTCCTTTCTCCCTCCTACTGTGGCCTACAAATGTGGGATGTTCATGACACTTGGATATCCACAGTTCTTCCCATTTTGAATCCCTTGCTGGGGAGGTGGGTTTCTCATAGCATCCTGCTCTGGCTTTCTGTCTACATGGGGGGAAAGTTCTGGTTTTCCTGCACCTTCCCTCTGTACAATCTCTAAATGACTAAACATCCCTGGCCTTGTTCCCCTCTTCAGGCAAGGATCCAATTCTACCTTTGCCCTAATAATAAGAGCTAGCATTAAGCAGCACTTTAAGGTTTCTAAAGGGCTCTACATGTACTGTACAACCCTGTGATGTAGGTGCTGTTATTGTCCCCATCTTACAGATGAGGAAACTAAGGCAGACTATAATAAGAGACTTGCCCAGGATCATACAGCTAGTAAGTGTCTGAGGTCTAGTTCTGAGCTCTGATCTTCCTGCCTAGGCCCTGTGCTCTATCCACTGCCCCACCTGATTAAATAGTGACTATTCACAAATCCTAAGCCGGACGTGCAGCCCCCATGACCTGTCAGAGTTCTTAAGAAGCATAGCCAGTAATAATGGAAATAGGTGTTGCATGACTTCACATGTATAAATGATATCATATTTCCTGCCTTCTCAGTGGGTAGTAGAGAGGTAGAAAGGTGGGAGAGAATCTGGAACTCTAACTTTAAAAAAAAAAGAATGTTAAAAATAAATAACAAATAAAAAATTACAAACAAAAAAAGAAGAAAAAGCATAACCAGATATAGCTCGTGCCCCAGAGACTCTCCTTTCTTTATCCTTCTCCCTGTTCATGAGCACTCTTAGGTTAAATTCTACTCTCAAGGAAAGACTTAATTCAATAAACTCATTCATGCTGAGCTGGAAAGATGTTTGCATTTTAAAAAGGAATAATTATTAAGCCCCAGAAGGGTCTCTAATGGTGGCATTTCAGATGTCACTGAGCAGGAAGTAGATTATCTTCCTATTTTGTCGAGGGGAGGGGCCTTCCAGTGCCCCTGCAATCACTCTGATTTCAGGCAGCTGTGAGGAAGCCGGGGAAAGACCACACAACAGGCTTCTCTGGGTCCCTAGCCTGGTTCCTGGGAGTTCCATGCTGTAGCTACCTGGCCCCTGGGATCCCTGTCCTGGTCTAATCCCTGCTTTCTGGTCTCTTGCAGCTCCAGCCAGCAGGAGTAATGGTAAGTTCTGTATTCAGTTCTGGCATCTTTTTTATTTTGTAACCAACACCTTCCTCCTTCTTGAATATCCATATCAGTGCAATATAGGACATATCAGTGCATCCAGGACAGCAGCTGCTATCCTGACTGGAGCCTTGAACCCACCTGATAAAGGGGAAAGTGAGACTTTAGGGCTAGTGTGGAAGCAGCTGTCACTGAGATAACTCTCTTCTCTCAGTACCTTCCACTCATGCTTTTCTACTGCTAGAGACTCATCTTTCTTCCTCAAGAGCCTGTTGTTTTCAGGTGGTTCAGTCCTGAGGTACACAGGGCTTGCCCAGGGTCATACAGCTAGTAAGTCTCTGAGGCCATATTTGAACTCGGATCTTCCTGACTTCATGCTTGGCACCCCATCCACTGCCCCACCTAGCTGCCCCTCTGGGTTTCAGCACTTCTTCTGTGTATATCCCCATTTCTTCTGCACCCCTGGGCTTGTGTGTGTGTTTCACTACCTGCTCCATAGAAAGAAAGGCCTGCTATTTACTACCCATTTGACCTCATTATTTAACTGCTCCAAGCCTCAGTTTTCTCATCTGTAAAATGCAGAAGTTGGACTCATTCGATAATCTCTATAGTCCCTTTCAGCTCTAAATCTTATGATTTAGGATCAAATGAGACAATGCATGTACAATGCTTAACACAGTACATGGCACACAGTAGGCACTTAATAAATTCTTGTTTCCCCTCCCCACTCCTCAGGACATGTTTGGGTTCTGTGAGTCTGTGGTTGCTCTGAGGTTGTCAATAGAGTAGATAGGTCATGGATCAGAGCAGGAGGGGTCATCTAGTGCAACTTCCTCATTTTGCAGGTGAGGAAACTGAGTCCAAGAAAGGTTAACTGAGTTGCCCAAGGTCATACAACTGGTAAGCGGCTAAACCAGAATTTGAACCCAAGATCCTTGAATCCAAAGCCAGCATTCTTTCTCCAGCCCCAAGTGATCTCTAAATATGTGTGTATGTGCTGTGTGAGTCAAATCAAATCAATCCAATAAGTATTTATTAAGTGTCTGTGAAGTCTCAGGAACTAATGATTGTTGGGGATATAAAGAAAGGCAAAAACAATCCCTTCTCTCAAGGAGCTCAGGGGTTTATTGGTGCTGCTGTCTACACCACATTGAGTCTATGCATTGTGCATCGTATATGTGTCTGTCTATCTCCTATCCTTAGATATTGTGTTTCTGTATGAATGTCAGCTGAGTGTGTCAGAGGAGAGGTATTGGGGGCAGAGATTTAGATCCTTTGATGAGGCTAGCAGCTAGTAGGAGCTGGGGTGCCTGGCCTTGGAATGGAGGCAAATGTGACCCCTCTCTCTTCCTGCAGGAAGAGTATTTCCTCAGTAATGGATCACTCTCCTTCCTACACAACAATTTGACCCCAGAGATTTCCAGCGTTTTTTCCAGATCTTGAAGATTGTAATTACAGTTCAGTCTTACTTCCCCTGACATGGGTTCTCTTTGAGAAGAAGATTATGGTTCTTGGAACTTTGTGATTATTTGTTGCGGCCGCTGCAGTGGAGAGCATGAGACCAGCTCAATGCTCAGTAACCCGGAGATGCATGGATGAGGCAGGAGACAGCAAGATGGCAGAAGCTCTGTTTATTAAGTGCTAGTAGCTTTCTTTTATAGCCCTGGTAACACCTGATCAAAGCATGATCTCCATGTGATAGCCAATCACCAAATCTGCTAGACACCTGCAGCCCTCGTTTCAGGGGTATGACTAGGATTTTTCTGCCAATGAGAGGAGAGCCAAGCCAACTGTGGGAGCTGCGTGTCAGCAAAGGAGAGGTCTTGTGAGACTTCCTTGTTTTTGCCACGCAACAGGTTGTGATCCTCAGCTTTTGCTGAGAGAAGCTAGAACTCCCATGAGAAAATTACCCTAACAATTCCCCCTTTTTGTTTTAAAGAAAAGGCAACGTTGTAAATGTGTCTGTTAACGTGTACTTGCCACGTAACATTTTTAAACGTGGAGATCATTACTTTCAAAAGACATTCGACTATAGCAGCATAAAAGTAAGCACACTACAACAATCACCATAATCCAATACTCAAATGACCCCCACCAATTGGAGGCATTATCAAACCAATGTAATATATTGTCTGCCGTTTTATCAGGATCCAGGTCCTCTTTAGAAGCTTTTTTTATTTCAGAAACTAATCTATATAGAGTTTCAATGTCAGATTCTATTGTGTTATTTAAGAATAGACCATTCAAGTGGTTTCTGATTACTGTCCAGTTGTAAGTAGAATTGTCATGTGTAAGTGGTGTCACACATAAATTTGTATACCGATAATCACATAGTAAATTTTGTCGTAATTTGATAAGTTCAACCTCAGCACCTATTTCCAAAGTAGTTTCCCTGAGGATTTTTAACATTGAGTAAAACTGATTATTTATCCTAGCCTCTGCTGCAAAGCCTACAGAAATATTGTTTGCGAGCTCATCTAGAAATCTGGCTTGTACTATGTTATTTTGGGCCTGGGATATTGACATTGCTAGTGAGGCAGAGGATGCAATCAAAGACACCAATAGAGTGATGCCCATGACAACACAGATGATGCATCGTTTTTCTCAATATAAAGTGAGGGGTTTGTGACTCTCTTTTTTCTTAATTATGGCATCGAGTACATGGTCAGATTTAGTGTGGTACCAATCCTTGCTTTCTACGGGAAGCATGACTACATGAGGACGCGTGATGACAAACACTGTTTGATTGACTATCAAAGGTCCTAGGCATTCAAACACTGTACAGTTGTGGCAAGTAATATTATAATAATCGCCACCACCCTCTCTGGTGATATTCACCTTATTTCCTCACATAAAGGCATAGCGCTCCCCTAGACACACCTGAGCGCTGAAGGTATACCCAATGTTGGTCCCATGGCACCACGAGTGTGGTCCAAGCACACCTTTCCAAGTTCCAAATTGTGACCCAAGTTGGTGGATGATTATTATGTTACTCATGGCTGCAAAAGCCCTCCAAAGATCCCTCCAAGGTTTTCCCATTTCAGGAACCCATACAGGTAGGGGCAGGGAGTCATATGTCATTCTGTGAGTATCATGCCATGATTGAACAATAGTCCCACTTAAGTTCATACAGAGGCGATGTCCAGCCACACAAGGCTCCGCATGAGGCCAGCCAAAACCAGAATCATTGTTCACCTTACATTTGTCCAGACCCCCCGTGTGCAGGGAGGTTGCGTTGGAGCAGGGCGTCCCCTGTCCGCCGAGTAGGTGAAGCTGGTGCGGCCCCATGTCGGGAATGTTCACAGCAAGGGCAATGTTCCGAACTCTCATGCACCCTCCCTGGCTGTCACCGCGGGACCAACAAAGAGGCTGCCGCAGGGACGGTCCTGCGAAGTGACACCCCACCATTTGCACAGTCCCGTTGTTTTTCACCTGGAGGTCGAATTCATCTCTTACTTCTCCCGGGCAAGTATTGTCAAAAGATGTCATCTGTTCCCCAAATACTTTCCATCTCCCTGGCTCAAAGCAACCCTGTTCTGGGAGCCAGGGGGATACCTGAAAAGCCAACCTCACAAATTTTCTAAGATCTCTTAGGTGTATCATTATTCCCTCATTCTCTGCTACCTTATATAAAGCTCTGGCGTAATTCTCCTCATCTGGGGAAGGAGAAGCCCTATATTTTGCCCCATTGTGTAAAGCGAAACTTTTACCTTCTCCGTCCCCAAGGATGGGAAACGTCTCGGAGACCCGATTCCGTCGGGCTGAAAGCTCAAAGCTTGCTGACGCGCTATTCATGGAGTTTAGACTCCACCCGTGGGGTATCTTTCAGGCCTGTCATCGATCTGCCCCACATTGGGTGCCAGTTGTTGCGGCCGCTGCAGTGGAGAGCATGAGACCAGCTCAATGCTCAGTAACCCGGAGATGCATGGATGAAACGGGAGACAGCAAGATGGCAGAAGCTCCGTTTATTAAGCGCTAGTAGCTTTCTTTTATAGCCCTGGTAACACCTGATCAAAGCATGATCTTGACGTGATAGCCAATCACCAAGTCTGCTAGACACCAGCAGCCCTCGTGTCAGGGGTATGAGCAGGATTTTTCCTCAAACGAGAGGAAAGCCAAGCCAACCGTGGGAGCTGCGTGTCAGCAAAGGAGAGGTCTTGTGAGACTTCCTTGTTTTTGCCACGCAACAGGTTGTGATCCTCAGCTTTTGCTGAGAGAAGCTAGAACTCCCATGAGAAAATTACCCTAACAATTATTGTGTTTGTTTTTTTTTTTTTTTGCCAATCAGATGGGACCTAGGGGATCCTTAGGGAGCTGTCCATCCTTCTGGAAAAGGCCCTGTGGCCTCATGACTCAGTGTGGCATCCATGTGTGAGAAAACTGCCACCAGCAGTTGACCAGCTCTGATGTTTTGTCTACTCCACAGCCCTCTAAACATGCACTGTGTGGGTTCCATTCTATTCTCTGTACCTGCCACTGGTGTCCTCCCTCAGATCTGGGATTTGATGACTCCTTGGAGACCCCTTTTCTTCATTCTCCTCTCCTCTCTACCCACCAGGTCCACCAAGGACAGTACTGACACTGCAACCCTCATGGTTTAATGTACCGCAAGGGGACAATGTAAGTTTGAATTGTGAAGTGTTCCAGATCTCTGGGCATCATTCCACTGAATGGCTCCACAATGGGTCAGCTCTCCCCATCCACCAGGACTCCTACACCATCCCAACTGTAAACGTGGAGGACAGTGGGGAGTACCAGTGCAGGACAGAACAGACTGCTCTCAGAAACTCTGTGAAACTACAGGTCTGTAGTGCTAAGTGAAGAAGAAGGAGCCTGGGGTAAGTTGGAGTGGGAGGGGAAGAGTTGAAATCTGCTTACAATACAGCCTGGAAAGGGACATATCCTGGCAAAATTGATGTTAAAGGGGATGATGGGAGAGTTCCTGAGAAATCAAGTAATTTTAATCCTCCTTTTCGCTATTGCCCTTACTGAGGTATGAGTTTAGCCTGTCTTGTTCTAAGATTTTTCTCACTGGCTCTGTCTCTTTTCACTACTCCTTTCTGCCAGGAAATTTCCAGAACTCCCAGTGCCCAGGAGACTAAAGACCTACATTTAATCAGTCAGTAAGTATTTATTAAAAGCCTACATGTAATAAACACTGGAAATACAAGTACAGAGAATGAAACAATCCCTGGTCACAAGGTCTATATTCTATTGAGGAAGAGAACAAGTACATGTAATATGTATATATATATATACACATATAATTCATATATATAATGTGTGTGTATATACACACATATTATATGTATAATATATGGATATACAACATATATTACATATACAACATACATATAAAATGAATAAGGAAGGCTGCTTACGGTTTAGAGGACAAGGAAAGGATTCATGCAGATAATCTTGCCTGAGCTGCATCTTAAGGAAGAGAGGTGACCGAAGCAGGTGCTACAGAATGCTTAGAGCTTGGTCAGACATCAAAGATGCCAGGGTCATCCTTTTCATCCTGCACCATTGCCAGTCTTCCTAACTTTTTTCTTGCCACTGGATTTCAATGACCCTGGAAGAGGGAGTGAGACTGATGACTTTGTGCAACTCTACCTCTCTTAAATCCAATTCTCTCCAGAGTGAAGACATCACCCTATGATATCATTGGTCCTCTTTGAAAATGACTAACAACAACCACAATATGTAGGCACATTCTAGCAAGTGGCATTCTGCATGTCCTCAGGCCAGGTTCAGTGATTGGAATAACTATTCAGAGTCAGGACCTGTTTTTCTTTGTCTTTAGAGGTGGCAGGAAGTCTTAGATGGCCCAAGGCTCTAGGACAAGCTGAAACGTCCTGAGCCAATGGCCTTTGTGTTTGCCTTTCAGACTGGCTGCCACTCCAAGTAGAAAGGTTAGAATTCATGGAAGGTGACACTATGATCCTGAGGTACCACAGCTGGAAGAGCAAACCACTGCACAAAGTCACATACTACCACAACGACGAAGCCTTAAAGTTTGACTATCAGACTTTCAACTATGTTGTCTCTCAAACGAACCATACTCACAGCCGATCCTACTACTGTCAGGGGAACATGGGGCATTCTACTCATCTATCCCCAACTGTGGTTATCACTGTCCACAGTAAGGAGACCTACCCAAGACATTTGAGGGGGAGAGATAGACACCTAGGACCAAGATTGTGTGGTTCTTATGGCATGGACACTGAAATGCTAGAAAGAGATAGTAGGAATAATTGTCATTTAGGGAGCATGTTTAGGTTTATGAAGCATTTTTCATACATGTTTCATTTGATCTCCACTTAAAACACCCAACCCAGAGGCATTATTATTCCTATTATTATCATTTGGAAGGTACCAAATTGAGGCTCAGAGAGCTGCGACATCTCCAAGATCACACAGCAGCAGGACCTGAATTTGCGTCTTCCTTATTCCAAGCCCAGCACTTGACACCCTATGCCATACCACCTCTCTCAGTAATTCCAGTTGAGGGAAAGAGCCATGGAGAGTCATGGCAGTCCCACTATGTGGCGATCAGGTCAGATGTGTTGGGATAGCCACAGGTCCAATTCCTCTATGCTCACCTGCTTTAGAGACCACAACTCCCAAGTGAAATTTTAAGAAGATAGCTTTTCAGTGACTCTTGAGCTGAACCCAGATTATCAATAGAACCCCCTAAGTAGAGGGAGAAGATCATCCAGTTATATAGTTTATGAAGTTCTCCTAGGACCCCCCAACCCATCCTCTATCATCTCCTAAGCCATGTCCATAGTTCTGTATCCAGGTAGAAATTGCGTGAGCCTGGGCAAAAGGCCTCTTCTTGTAAGAAAGGCCTGAGGAGTGTTCTTCCAGTTCTTGGAGCTCCTCTGCCAGGTTGTAAGTGAAGGCCTCTGTCAGTAGAGTGAAGGAGCCTGGATCAATTCAACAAAAATATACAAGCATTTATTAAGTGTCCGGTCCTGTACTGTGTTAAACAGTGTGGGTACAAAGAAAGAAAAAACAGTCTGTGACTTTAAGGAGCTTACAATCTAATGGGGGAGATAACATCCAAGCAACAGTGTAAGAGTTATTTGGAGCTCAACTTGTAGGGAAGGTAGCAGAATCAAGGGAGACTAGGAAAGGCTTCTTTCTTGCAGAAGGTGGGATTGGAGCTGAGACTTAAAAGAAGCCAGGAAAGCCAGGAGCCTAAGACTAGGAGAGTGCTTGGCTGCTGAAGATAAGGGAGGAGAAAAGGGGAAGTTGGGGCAAGGCTGATTTAGCACTAGTGGAGGGGAAGGAGAGGGTAGAGGTAGGGAAGAAGAAAACACTGAGTATTTTGACATCTCTCTCCCAAGATCAGGAGGGAAGCTGAGCCCTGCAAAAGTGTGTGTAATAACATTTTTCCTGGTGCTTTTTGTTGCGATAATTGTGGCTGTTGCCCTGTATTACTAGAAACCAGGTATGCAGTTCCATTCAGTTTTTTATGTAATGGGCTCTCTTCTTGGCCAATATTCCAACCCTATCCTTCCCCAGACCCTGGATTTTTTCCCTGGTCTAGGGAATCCCCAGCCATATGCATACCTGTAACTGTGAGATTCTTTAATACAACAGGGGAATTTTTTTTATCCCACAGATGCCGGAGTTGAGAGCTTGGAGACAAAGTTTTACACTGGGTGACCTCTGAGACACAACCCTAGTTATTTCACTTAGCTATTAGCATTCTGGCCTCTTTGGACAATCTTCTTAATTTAATAGGACCACTTCCTTTTCATTGGGTTGGGATTATCCCAACTGGATTCTTCAATGGTTCCCTTAAGTGAGAGACAGAATGTATTTGAGGTGGTGGAAATGGGAAAGCAATGCTTGAAATTTCATAGGATCAGAGATTTAGAGCAGGAAGGGATCTTCTAGGTCAGACAACAGCTGTGTGACTGTTTGCCTACGCTCCTCATTTGTAAAGTGAGCTGGAGAAGAAAATGACAAACCACTCCAATATTTTTGTCAAGAAAACCCCCTAAATGGAGAAGGGGGGAGTGTCATGAAGAGTCAGATATGACTGAAACAACTGAATAACAACAGAATAACTAAAGTACAGAATCATAACTTTAAAAAAAAATCAAATGGAGGAAAATACAAACCTACTTCACACGACTTTAAATGTGAATGGATTAAGCAGTTCAATACAATGAAAAATAGTGAGGGGGTCCGGGCTCGGAGCGGGCACTGCGGCCGCGGGCAGGGCTGCGGGGCCATGCCGGCTGGCCTCGGCGGCGTCCATGATATCAAGTTTCCTGGAGCAGTACATGAGCACCACGCCGCAGTGCCTGAAGCTCCTGGACGCCTACCTGCTCTACATCCTTCTGACCAGAGCGCTGCAGCTCGGTTACTGTCTCTTCTTGCGGACCTTCCCCTTCAACTCCCTGCTTTCCGGCTTCATGTCCTGTGTGGGAAGCTTCATCCTGGCCGTCTGTTTAAGGATAGAGATTAACCCACAGAACAAGGGAGATTTCCAGGGCATCTCTCCAGAACGAGCTTTTACTGACTTCCTCTTTGCTAGCGCCATCCTGCACCTTGTTGTCATGAAGTTGGTTAGTTGAATCCTTCCCATTCACGGAAACAAGGAGAAATAAAGAACAATGTTTTCGCTTCGTGGTTTCTCGGATAGAAATGACATCACTTGAGGACAAGCAGATTTTCATACTTCACACCTAAAATTTATTGCAGACATCATTTTATTTTATGATTGAGGTGGGAAATACCAGGAAGATTCTGTGCCATTCTTCGTCTGAAGTACTTTGTAATGAGCATTTAACAAACTGACCTCTGCCATCCCTTCTCTGTAATAACCTGTTTGCCTTCCAAATAAAGTACTTCTCATTAGTCCTCAAAAAAAAAAAAAAAAGAAAAATAGTGAGAAATTCGATAAGAAAACAAAAC